CTCCCATCCAGAACACACCATATGATCCATCCTCTATAGCCAAGCCCTTTGATACAACCGCATCTACTCTAATGCCACTGACAAGAGACCAGAAACTTCAGGAACTCTACCAAGCCTTTGTGTAAACCTCAATTACCCACCCAGGGAAATAAACAAATTGAAGGAGCCAGACGAATACCCAGAAACCATCTACTTCAAGACAGACCCAAGAAAACAACAATAGAACATCACTTATCTATAGCCCCCAACTTAAACCCGTTCAAAGCATCATCAATAACCTACCACCTATACAGGAACAGGATACTACACTCCGAGAGGCTCTGGGAGACAGACCCATAGTCTCCTATAAACAACTACCTAACCTCATGATGTTTCTTACCAACAACCACAGGACATACACTAATACCAACCTTGGTACTTTCCCTTGCAACAAACCACGTTGCCAGCTTTGTCCACATATTTACTCTGCTGACACCATCATTGGACCTAATCACGTCAGTTACAAGATCAAGAACACATATTCCTGTTCATCCAGAAATATAATTTATGCCATCATGTGCCAACAGTGTCCGTCTGCTATGTATATTGGACAAACTTCTCAGACACTTCTCCAAAGAATTGATGCCCACAAATCAGACTGTTTCCCAAAGAAAAAACAGTTTCCTGTCATTTCAGCCAGACTGGGCATTGTTTCAACAACCTCACTACATGTATCTTACTTCAAAGAGACTTTAACACCAGACTACAAAGGGGAACCTCAGAACTGTCATTCATGCTTAAATTTGACACTTTACAAATGGGCCTTAAAGATGCTTACCCATTACTAAGATAGCTTCCCCAATTATCACCCCTAATATCATTATCTCATAGACACTAACTTCCCCCCCAAACCCTCCCTCTGTTCTAAAATCTGATTTGTCAATTTTGTGTGTGTTCACTTTTTTTTGGTTGTATCCCTTTGGTATATATGGTCATGCCAATTTTCTTCCACAATTTGATCTGAGGAAGTGGGTCTGGCCCATGTAAGTTCATCACCTAATAAACCATCTTGTTAGTCTTTAAAGTGCTGCATAGTCCTGTCTTTTGTTTCAGTATATAATGAGAGAGCTGATGAACAACAAAAGATCAGCCAGTTACCAGTAGAAATTGTGCCCTATAGAATGAAATATACACACAGGGCCTGATGTACACTTGCCTGCATCCTTTTCTGGAATATCAATATACCAGTCTTTGGTCATATTCACAGGTCAGTTTCTGCTACAATAGATCCAGCAGTGGAAAGCTGCAGAGGGGGATGGGCAGGAAATCACTGATGTCCCCAAAATTAGAAGGGATAGCTAGAGGCTATGCCAATTTGGTACATCTCCTGAACAGCTGCCCCTTGGAGGGCTGCTCTGGGTTCCTGATTACAAATCTGCTTGCCCCAGTGGAAACAACCTCCAGAAGGAACCTCCCAAGGGAGCCTGGCCATGGTAACACTGTCATCTCTCCTTCAAATGTTCTCCTTGTAAGTTCCCAGGGGGCTGCAGGAATGTGTTTTACGTCTCCCTGCCCCAGCTTCAGCAAATCTCTCTTTTGGACTCTAAAACTGTTGCTGCCACCGCAAAGGACATCCTCGAGCTTTCTTGATCACCACAACTGCTCTCTTTTTTTTTTTTTTAAATAGTGCAAAGGCAGAGTAGGGGAAAAGCTAGTTTTCAGTGCTGAGCCTACATTCTGTTACTCAGCTGGACAGCAACCTAGTGATCCCGTTCAAAGGAGAAGCAGCAGATGTTCTGATCCATGCTCTTTGGACTGGTTTGGCTAATGAGAGAGGGAGACTCACAGAACATGAGTCAATGTAAAATCTATAATCTTGCTCATTATGATGGAGATTGGGCTTTGTTACAGCCCATCGCAGATATGTAAACATATCTGCACAGTGAAAAGCTTTGATCCCTATTATTAAAGGAAAAATACAGCCCTGTTCTGTCTGCAAGGAACATCTTTCAGCTGCACAAAACACAGCTCACGCACATGACTCACCACAATCATTTGAGCCACGTAACTTTCAGGACCAGTGTATTCGGTTGGGTCTTTCACTTTGACTAGGACGATAAAGTACAAATAATGCCACATGTTGTGTTCTGACTTTATATGCTCCTCAAATGAAACAGTCTTATTATCAAACTTGTCCCGCTCCAGTCCTGCAAAAAACACAAAAGCACTCAATCAACTTTTATCCGCACCATCAGTGTAACAATAAACTCTGAAAAAATCAGCAACGGAAAAGTGTCAAGATGTTAATTTAAAAGCTATAATTACAGACTGACTGTTTTGCTAGACCTCCAGCTACAAAAGCATTTCTGGCAAAATTCTTTCAGACCCATATTTATTCTTTTGTGATATTCCCTCTTAACAACACCATCATCATCAAATATCTTACGCCTTTATAGTGCCTTACAAGCTGATCCTGCAAAAAATAGGCTGTAGATATGAGCTGTGTAAGTAAACATATAGTATTGATACATCAGCCCTATTCTTGCAAAGATTTAGGAAAGTGCTTAGTTTTAAGTATGTGAATACCCCTACTGAAACTTTAATGGGACCAGTTGTGTGCTTAAAGTTTAAATGCACGCAGGATTGAAATTCAAGTCATGAGCAAAACTGTTTATTATAACCATCTGTGCAACAGATTAGAAACTGTGCCTTAAAGTGTCATGACCAGGCAGGACAGGGATGCATGAAATTATTTCATTTGTTGTTACGCCTTCCCCAGTCTGCTCTCCTATGGACCCTAACACAGATTAAAGCTTCCCTCCCTCGTGTGAAATCTTCCAGTGGCTATAGGGCCCCTTTGGGGAGGAGTGATTTGCCTCTCTCTGCACCAGCATGGACAAATCATAGGCAATGAAGTTTTATGTAAAGACACTTATTCAATTTATCTGCTCCTGTGTGTCTTCAGAGTTGCATCTCCTTATCAGGTGGGCAGGCTGTGCTACATTTAGCATTGTGGAGTCTATACTGCGATGGAAAAGTGCGCTGCATTTTTACCTGCTTCAATATTCAACAAAATCAACAGCTGTGCTCCCACTGCAGAGTCTTCATTAGTGGTGACAGTGAAAACAATGGGACGAATACAGCTTGAGTCTCGGACCCCAGGTGGAACTCAGCAGTAGCACAGTTAGAAGAGCCCATCTGAGTGGGCCCTGACTTTGGGTAGGTGGGCAATGCTGGGGGAGCATAGTTAAGCCCCGGCAGGTTGGCGGGAGAGGCCCTGGATGTGACGTGTGTAGGCCATAGCTCACTCAGGCCCATCTGTGGCCACGCCCCTGGAACTCAGAGTCTGTTGTTAGAAAAGTCATCTTTTTTTACTTGTGAACTGATTGTAAAAACGCCACCGTGGGATTCTACATTTATTCCTGACTGGCAGCAAACACGGAGTTACTTTCCAATTGATGACTGCCCTTTAGAGACACTCTTATTGACTTGTGAACTGATTGTAAAAACGCCAGCATGGGATTCTATATTTATTCCTGACTGGCAGCAAACACAGAGTTACTTTCCAATTGATGACTGCCCTTTAGAGACACTCTTATTTATGGAGCAGCATTTTGTTTTATTGCTTCTCTACCCTCCCTTCCTTCCTCCTCTTCCCCCCATGAGGTTCAGAACAATAATTATGACAATGAAATAAAATAGAAGATCATAAACAACTCGGGCAGCAAACAAGGGCTCCTGCAACAATAAGGTTTCAGAATGAAATAAAAATAGCGCACAACTACAACATTAAACCACCACGTACCTTTTCAGACCATTAGCTACAGCAAAGCAAGGCACAGATGCATGTCTTAGGCCAAACCCTTCATGTCTTGCTCACATCAGCAATCTAACTGAAGCCAAAGGGGTTACTTACGTGAGCAGAGTAAGCAGGATTTGACTTTTAGGGTACATCTACACTACAGTGTTAATTCGAGTTAACTTAATTCAAATTGGCTATTTTGAATTAAGTTATCTACACACAAAACCTATTTCAAAATACTGCGTCCACACTGAGTGGACCCTGAACTGAAGTTAAGGCTGGCCGGAACCACTGCCAGCAGGGCATCAGGTTAGGAGTTAGCCTCAGGCAGCAGCCCCACACACTAACTGAGCTCCGTGCTTAAAGGGACCCTACCCCCACCCTGGACAGACAGCTCTTAGGATTCCCCACTTGCTTGTCTACCTCGATGAGGGACAGCAAAGCATTCCTGTCTTGGAGTGCCCTGAGTGCCTGCACTCGGGACACTACAGCACTCGGCCACATGGAGCCAGAGCTGCCCCTGGGCACGCCGGTGCGTTTCGTGGGGTTGTTGCCATCAGCCTGGCGGCACTTGCTGTAGGCTGCCATCCAGGAGGGCCCTTGGGGGGCTGGCA